CTCCATATGAGGCTTTGTATGGGAGGCGGTGTAGATCTCTAGTTGGTTGGTTCAAGCCCGGTGGGGCTAGGCTATTGGGGACTGATTTGGTACAGGATGCTTTAGAAAAGGTAAAGGTGATTCAGGAGAGTCTTCGTACAGCGCAGTCGAGGCAAAAGAGTTATGCTGACAAGAAGGTTCCAGATATGTCCTACATGGTTAGTGAGAAGGTTCTATTGAAGTTTTCACCCATGAAGGGTGTTATGAGATTTGGGAAGAAAGGGAAATTGAGTCCTCGGTTCATTGGGCCTTTTGAGGTGCTTCAGAGGATTGAGGAGGTGGCTTATGAGCTTGCTTTACCACCCGGCTTGTCGAGTGTGCATCCGGTATTTCATGTTTCTATGCTCCGGAAGTATATTGGGGATCCGTCTCATGTTCTAAATTTCAGCACGGTTTAGTTGGATGATGATTTGACCTATGATATGGAGCTAGTAGCTATTTTGGGTCGTTAGGTTCAAAAGTTGAGGTCAAAGGATATAGCTTCAGTGAAAGTGCAGTGGAGAGGTCGGCCCGTGGAGGAGGCTACCTGGGAGACCGAGCGGGAGATGCAGAGCAGATATCCTCACCTATTTGAGGCTTCAGGCATGTTTCTTGATTCGTTCGCGGACGAACGTTTATTTAAGTAGGGGAGGATGTGACGACCCGGCTAGTTGTCTCATGAGTTACCGCTCTGTTTTCCCCATTTCTGCTTCTTTATGCTTCCTTATCCGTGTTTTGTGATATCGGGTTGGTCGGATCGAGTCCGGAATGATTTTGGTAAGGTTTGAGACACTTAATCTCTTTTAAAAAGTTAAAGTTTGAAAAGTCAACCGGATATTGATTATGTGTTTGAAGGCTCGGATGTGAGTTTCGGTGGTTTGTCTAGCTTTGGGAGTTGATTTAGGACTTAGGAGCGTGATCGGAATGAGTTTTGGAGGTCCGGAGAAGATTTAGGCTTAAATTGGCGAAGTTGATTTTTTGGCGATTTCCGGTTGGTAGGCGGGATTTTGATATAGGGGTCAGAATGGAATTCCAAGAGTTGCAATAGTTCTGTTGTGTCATTTGGGATGTATGTGCAAAATTTCAGGTCATTCGGACGTGGTTTGGTTGGGTTTTTGATCAAAAGCGGAATTTGGAAGATTTTAGAAACTTAGGCTTGAAGAAGGAAATTAAGGCCTGGGCAGAATGTTTTTAACTCGTCTTGTCCGCGATTTTGCGGCTCATTTCCTCCATAGTTGGTCGTTTTTGGAGATTTTTGAAGGAGATTGAAGAGGGGTTCGAGGGGAATCACTTGGAGGTAAGATTCTTGGACTTAAAACTCGATTATTATGTGAATTTCACCTAGAAAATCATGGAATCTAAGCCTAAAATTAAAGAGCTAGAGCTTGAAATTGGAGACCACACATTTGGGATTTGAAGGGTCATTTGTGGATGAATTTTGAAGTTTTTGATATGTATGGACTCGTGGGAAGATAAGGAATCTCTTGGTGTAAAAATTTCTGAATTTTAAGACGTGGGCCCGGGGGTCGGGTTTTGGCAATTTCAGGAGTTGTGCCTTTTATTGATTGTTTTCGCTTGGGCTTCGTTCCCTTAGCATATTTTGACGTCTCGTTCTGATTCTGGATAGATTCGACGCGACTGGAGGCCGATTCGAGGGGCAAAGGCATCGCGAGCTAGAGATTTAGCAGGTTCGAGGTGAGTAATGATTGTAAATGATGTTCTGAGGGTTTGAAACCCCGGATTGTACATCGTGGTGCTATATTGAAGTGAAACACACGCTTGATGACGAGCGTTGGGTCGTGCACTATTGGGGATTGTGACTTGGTCCCTCCCGATTGATGATTTTACCGTATACTTCACTGAAATCTATTTGCTATCATCATTATTTGGGTTGAATGCCATATTTGGGCTTCATGCCAACTATTTAAATCCTTCGGGGATTTTTATTGATATTTCCTCACTGTTTTGACTTTAACTTGTACTCAGTCATGCTATATTCTACTGTTTTCAAAACTCAGCCATGTTTACTCTGCTTTAACACTTGAAATGATATATTAAATCATATTTTGGGCTGAGCATCATGTTTTACTGTTGCCCGAGTAGCTTATGTAATTTTTGACTGAGTAAGGCCGAGGGCCTGTGTTGTGAGGATACTTTTGGGTTGGGTTGCACGCTGAAGCGGTGATACACTAATTTGATTATGAGGACGAGGGCCTGAGATATGTACGCTACGAGGTGGCTTATTGATATTGATATGAGGCCGAGAGCCTGTTTATGATGCCACGAGGTGGCTTGGTATTGCGCTTGGGCCGTAAGGGGACCCTCCAGGAGTTTGCACACCCCCAGTGAGCATGGATACCCATTGTGATATGAGATTGAGTCCGAGGGGCTGGTATTGTTCTATGTGAATGCCCGAGGGGCTGGTACTGTTCTGAAATGTTGCCCGAGGTGCAGATTTGTTGATACTGTGCCCGAGGGGCGAACCTTTATGTGGTTATTTTTCTTAATTGACTGTCAATTACCTGTTTAATCAATAAAAAAGCTTTTTATGAAATTACATTTGAGATAAATAATTTTACCTATCTTTCACTGATTTACTGTTTTTACTTGGTTTTACTGCTTCATTATAGAATGCTTTGTGTCTTACGTGATTTCTTACTTTCAGTCTTTATATACATTTGCTACTCACTGAGTTGGAGTACTCACTTTACTCCCTGCACCCTTGTGTGCAGATTCAGGCGTTGCTGATCCTACTAGTGCGAGTTGAGAGCTCCCGGCGGACATTCGGAGTTCACGAGGTAGCTGCTTAACGTCCGCAGACCCGTGTTTCTCCCTCTTTATCATTTCTATCTCATATCAGACTTTTGTACTCGTTTTAGACATTTCAGACTTGTATTAGATTTTATAGATGCTCATGACTAGTGACACTCCGGTTAGGGCTGTGTTGGGTTGTTCTTCCGCGTATTTGTGATATTATTTGCTACTTTAGATTATATATTCATGTTTAGTCTGTTTCTAAATGCTAAATTGTTAATAATTGGAAAAATGGGAAGTGTCGGCTGGCCTTGTCTTCACGAGAGGCGCCATCACGACCGGGTCCAGGTTTAGGGTCGTGACACCTCGATTCCAATTTATCCACTTTCCCTTTTAGCACATGTGCTAAACAACACCCAAACCTGAATGTGCCGTAAACTGGGCTTGCCCCCAGTCCACAATTATGTTGGGGTTGAAGGTACTGACTTTGAAGGAACTAGATTCATAATGTAATTTGCTTTTTCTAAATCATATCCTCAAAAAGAAGAAGCCAAATCAGAATAACTTAACATTGATCTAATAAGGGTTCTATTTCTTCTTTCTGTCGCACCATTTGTTGTGGTGTTCCTGGGGTAGATAATTGAGATGTAATTCCACAATCTGATAAGTATTTAATGAATTTCACAGAAAGGTATGCACCACCACGATCAGATCGCAATATTTTGATATGTTTATCATGTTGTTTCTCTATTTCCGTCTTAAATTCTTTGAATTTCTCAAAGCATTCAAACTTACGGTACAACCAATAAATGTATTCATATTTTGAGTAATCATATGTGGAAGTCACAAAATACTCAAAACTACCTCTTGCTTGTATATGTATAGGGCCACACAAATCAGAGTGCATTAAATCTAACTTATCGTTAACTTTATTTCCTTTTAAGGGAAAATATCTCTTGGTCATTTTACCTTCTAAACAGGATTCGCATATTGGCAGTGCCTCCACTTTTAATGAACTCAAAGATCCATCTGAAATCAACCTCGAAATCCTATTTAGATTTATATGACCTAAACGTAAGTGACACAAATAAGTTTGGCTCAATTCAGAAATGTGTTTTCTTTTATGTGGCAGATTAATGTTATTTAATTTTATGGTCATAGCACACGAGGAGAGATATCAAGAATAAAAAGAGCATGTACTCTAGTAGTAGTGTAGATAAAGCGTTTATTCAACTTAATAACAATAGAGTTATTAGTTTAATAAACATTATAACCAACATATATTATTTTCGAAACCGAAATCAAATTCCTTCTAATAGAAGGAACATAGAGGATATCTTTCAAAACTAAAACTCTATCACTACTAAACGAAACTCTAATATCTTCTAATGCTAAAGCTGGTGTTGGCTCGTCATTGACTTGAAAAATGCAAACTTCATTCTCACTTAGCCGCCGCGTTTGTTGAACCCTATGCAAAGTAGTGCAGATATGATTAGTGGCTCCTGAATCTACACACCAAAACATGATAGAGACAGTCGCTAAACAAGTTTCAACGACATTTAAATTCGAATTACCTTACTTATTCAACTTTGCTAGATAGGCAGGGCATTGCTTTTTGTGATGCTCAGGTTGCTTGCAACAATAGCACTTTCCTTTGGGCTTTTTCACACCAGCAGCCGCACCTCCAAGTGCCAAAATCTTGTGAGCCTTCTTCTTTTTCTTACTGCCTTTTGACTTAGAAACCGAAGCTTTCTTAACATTCAGTAACACAATAGGAACTTGCTATTTGATAATAGATTTTGCCGCTTGCAGCTCATTCAACTATTTCGCTAGTAACAAATCCATTTTGTTCATATTATAGTTCAAGCAAAATTGTTGAAAACTGTCAGGCATCTGCAGGACCATCTCAACTTGAGATTCCTTATCAATCACAGCTCCAAGGACCTCCAGTTCATCCAGAAGACCTATCATCTTCAGAACATGGTCCCTAACCGATGATCCTTCAGCCATCTTGGTATTCAAAAGGGCTTTCATGGCTGTCTGCTTAGCCGCACAATTTTTGTCATCGAATATCGCTTTGAGACTTTTGAGCATGTCATAAGCAGACCCCATAGACTGATGCCGATGTTGCAAAACATTCGCCATAGAGGCAAGAATGTAACATCCACCATCTCAACAGCCTTAACCCATTTGTCATAGGCCTTAACCTAATTATCAGTAGCATCTTCATCAGGTTTTTCTGGACATTCCTTAGTGATTACGAATTTGTAACCTTCAGCAGTTAGGACAATATCAAGATTCCTTTTTCAGTCAACATTATTCATCCTTCTAACTTGTTTTAGTTCAAAATTAAGGTAAGTGAGTTGAATGAAGACATGGTTAATATGAGAGATATTCACATTAAATAGATCATTAGTCATGCATTTAAAAAAATAAAATCTAAAATAGCACATATCACATATAACCATGCTCGTTGAACAGTTAGATTCGTTAGGGGAACTTAACTATTCGTGCAAAATATATGAGTTATGTAAGATATTTACCCCATAAATTAAAACAGGACCAACTTAGATAGAGAGTAAACTATCAATTTAAGATAGTTAAATATCACTTTTATAAACCCTAGTTTTATTGAATCAACATGCAACTCAGTTGGAGAGTTAATACAAGTTATCAAATAACTAGAGGCAAAACTACACTAATCATCTATAATGAATTTATCCAATGTGGAAGAAGACCTATGTCAACATATAAATTTATTATATTACTGTAAAACATGATTGGAAACCATGGGATTGAACCCTACNAGCGGGGGGCTATACCTTCCCGAACGCGTTCCTGGCCACGCGAACGCGAAGGGCAAATGGGCCTGGGCAGGGTGAGGGGTAGTTACCTTACGCGAACGCGACCTGTAGGTAGGGGTGTCAATGGTTCGATTCGGCCGGTTATTTTATAAAATTTGTACCATACCAATTTTTCGGTTATTCTGTTATGTATAACCAAAATTAGACTTCTCGAAACCGTCCCAATCATGTCGGTTTCTCTTCGGCATCGGTACGGCTCGGTAAATTTTCAGTAATTTTTTTTAATGTCATGTAAAAGTCACTAGTAGAAGTAGAATGCAATAACATACGTACTTTTATATGACTTAGCAAAACTCTCTAGATATTTTTACAGTTTAAAAAGTGATGAATTAAGAAAATATGAAAGATTACTAGAGTATAGATCCATCAACTATTCTACATCAACGTAAAAAAACTAAGCAAATACAAAAATAATATAAATTGCATGAGTGGAAAAATATTAACTAAACTGGGATTCAAGAATAAAGTCTATAGAAGATTAAATATTCAAAAATATAAATCAAAATCATACGAAAGGAAACATATTCAATATATTGTAGTTTGCTACTCATAATTGCGATAATACCTTGTGTCTTGCTAGTGAACATGCTGAAAATAATTTAGTTTTAATATGAGTAGCATAATAGGTTTGGGAATTAAGATTTTGAGTTTAATTACTTGTTGGCTTGTAACTATTTCTTAATTCCAAGGCCCAAGAAAAAATTCAATGCTTTATTATTTTTAAACTTAATATATAAATATATTATTCACATTGTAAATTTATTTGGTACAGTTCGGTATTTTTTTATAAAATAAAAAACCTACCCTAATTATTGGTACGGTTATAGATTTATATAAAAACCTACGATTTTATTAAAAGAAATCTAAAATTCGGTTCGGTACGGTGTAGTTCGGTCGGTTTAGTCGGTTTTTAAATATCCATTGACACCCTACCTACCACCATTGTTTCTTAAAAAAGTATTAAATTTTTTTCTAGAAAATAGAAAAATGGCCAAAACCCATCTAAACGATCCTGAATACCCTAAAAACGACATACATCATGAGCAAAGATGATGAATATTGCTCACTGGGTCATTTTCGATGAACCTTCAAAATTTGAGGTCAATCGAAGTTCGACATAATTTCAGAATTCCAAATTCATGTCCTATTTGCAAAATCTGTTTTTGGCATTTTTTAAGGGTTCTGTTTATTTTGATTCGTTCATATTACATAACATACTTATGTATGTTAATTCATGATTTCAGAACTCAAAATATTATTATAACAGTGTCACTTTTGTATATATAAAAAATTGTTTTCATGAAATAAACACAACAAACATAGGAAAAATAACACTATTTTCATGAAATAGAAAATCACTATTCATACTTATGTATGTGAATCCATAATTTCATAACTGAAATAGTACTCAAAACAGTCACGTTTTTATATTAAAAAAAATATCACTGTTATCATGGATAAAAAATGCGACAAAACATGAGAAAAATAGCATTGTCATGAAATAAAACACCACTATTTATACTTATGTATGTTAATCCATAATTTCAGAATTAAAATATTACTTAAAATAGTCACATTTTTTGAGAAAACACCACTGTTTTCATAGAATAACCACACTAAACATGTATAATTAAACAACACATTTTAATATTACTTTATTCATGTTGTATTACATTATTTAGTTAGATGTAAGACGACATCTGATACCAATTGTTAGAACATGCGCAGCGGAAGCAAGCATACAACTCAAGTATCACAAACACGTAAACTAGACAATGATTCAATACGGAGATTAGAAGTACTAACCTTTTGAAAACGTTGCACAGGCCCTCCACAAAGAAAGAATCCAAGGCTGCAGTCTTCTGCTATGCTCCTTGTAAGATCTTGGACGAAATTTTTTGAGTGGGCAAAATAATACAATTTTGAATAGTGAGTTATTAGGTGAAAAAAGTCTTCCTTATGTAAACCCACAATTAAGTCAAAAGGGGGGGGCTAAAAAACGTGTAAGATTCTACTAGTGCAAGTAGAATCCTACTCTAAATCAAAAGCATGACTTTTCTCCTAAGTCACATTTTATCCAAGTCTGTTCAAGTTTTTACTAGGTATAGCAGGGATCACATAAACAATAAGAGGCTACCAATTATAGTATTAATTCGAAATACAGATGAATTAAATCCTACTATAACTATTCGCAGTTTATTCCACTAAAAACTACAATTAAACTCTTCAATATGAATTTCAAAATTCATTAATACCTATTTTTAACTCCGCGTGTTAAGATTACCAATACCAGTTAATTAAACTAAATCACTGATAATTTAATTTAATCAACTAATTAAATCCTCTATCAATTCCGCTTAAACCTTTCATGCGACGGATACAAAATTCACCGGCCGGATTTTCACATGAAAACTTATAAGCTTACATAAAGGGGTATCATCAAACTCAAAAACGAGTGACAGATTCCATTAACTATTATTATTTCACAAATGTTATTTATCGTTGTCCAATCTATTAGGCATACACTAACTCTAAATAGAGTTATACCTTTTGGTAAATCAAAATAATAAACAAATCACATTTATTATAATAACAATATCAAGATTAGGAGTATAAGCTCATTTAATGAATAAGAGAAAATATTTTATATATATTCAGTACAAAAATATCTTTTCTTTACTTGGTCCGCTCAATATACACCAAGTATACTAGCATAAGAAGTTGAAGTAAAACCACTCCCATAATCAAGATAATTTATTGATAGGTTTTCAATGTCTTTGACTTATACTTTGATGATCTAACAAACTTTATCAAGAACCAGATAGAGAACCTGATACACTTGGGCTACACTGCAAGTTAATGGATTCCAGCTTAATGTGAACTGCTATAGCTTCAGGGGATAGAGAACCAAACAAGGACCTGATACCATTGTTGTTCCCTCATAGTAGTACGAAGTCAATGGAACATAATTGGAAGCGACGTGACTGCCTACACTGTTTCTGCTTGCACTGCACTGTCTCCAGTGCCCACTTATTTCTTGACCAACTAAAGTTCTTACATCATTTCAAGTGATGTCATCAAGGTGTATCAACAATGAGTTTATATCAAAACATCACTTGAACACTTCCGTTCCTCATTCAAGCCTTTTGTAAAATAGAGAAATTAATTCTCACGAGCTTGAAGAACAAAGTTAAACGCTACTATTGATCAGTTTCTAAAGTGAGTATTTTGTTGTCCTTAGTTGAGTTATAACTTTGTGATTGTTCTTGTTGTATCTCCTAAATTTCTTAGACAGAAGCGTTGATTAGGAACCCTCTTGTAAAATCCGTAAACTCTCTGAGTTTATGTTGTGACTAGGTTTAGTCATAAACTAAAGTCTTTGTAACTAGAGAGTGACAAAGTGGATTGTGGTGAGAGTATCACAAATTAGTTAAAGTCTTTGTAACTAGAGAGTGACAAAGTGACTTGTGGTGAGAGTACCACAAGTTACTTGAGTTGAATTCTTTGTAATAGAGTTATTACAAAATGGCTTGTAATAGGCATTTACAAGTTAGTGAAGTTGAAAGCCTACAGGTGTAGGTCGTGGTTCTTGTCCCCTTGAGTTGGGATTTTTCCACATAAAAATCCTATGTCTCATTTAATTACAGTTTTATTAGCATTCTCAGCATAACCTCATAGAGGACCAGGTAATCTACTGTTTGGTGGACTTATACAAACTAACAATTATACTTTAATCTTGTGCTACAATCATCAAGATATTTTGCCCAACAATATCTTCGTTTGTGAACATAGTTTATTAATTATGAGAAACGATAATTTAATCTTCTGTGCATGAGTTAAGACTCCATACACTAAATTATCGACTATATAACTAAAGGACACACATTTAACAAATGATCTATTTAAAATAATACTTAATTAAATTGAATAAATCAAATAAACAATTGTTCCATGAAGAATAGAACCCAATACTATAACTAAACCACATGGTTAATAGTATATCCTAACACCAAGAACATCATAATTGTCTAATTTTAAAAGCTTAAAATTCTTGTTTGGGATTCGAAGTTAATGATTAATTACTGTTCAAATCGTCTTGAGTATTGATATTCAATACTTAAAATTTTAGTTTAAATACTAATTTGGTGATTTACTTTAAAAATTTTAAAACTTCATTATTGGTCCTTAGAAAGTGTTGAAGAAGAAAAAGTGGGTCCACCTTGATTTGGTGTTACTTGACAAAATAGGTTATTGGGATCATTTTTACTAGTACTTGTAGGT